GGGACGGTGACACAATCTCTTGGGGAGCTAGTTGCCAAAGTCATGCGCTTCCCTCGGAGAGAAACCGACCAGGATAAGCGAAGCAGAGGAAGAGGTGTTTTACACTAGCGTGCATGGCTAAGGGTTAAAGTGTCATTCTTATTTCCAAAAGTCCTCCTATTATGACCAGCCACGGTGTCACAAAATAATGAGCCTTTGTATCTTGAATCTTCCGGAGCTCTTCATCAGGCTGGATGTAAAACAAGGCGAAAGCCGGGAGGTGCGGCAGCAGCGAGAAAAAATAGCTGCCTTGTCAATGAGACGCAAAGTCTGCATTGGTTTAAGGTTCATTTTTGTTGCATGGCATCGAGAAGGAGCGTGGCCATGTATCTAAAGCAGGTTTAGGAGCTCGATCTGTATTTCTTGTCAGCCACACTCTTGATAGGAGAACCCCGGCGAGGCTCACTCCCAGTTAAGTGTGCCTAACTCTCTATATTTGTGTTTTTATATTGTTGTAAACCACCCTGTGATCTTCGGATGAAATACGAAATAGAAATTTAAATAGTAGTAGTAGCAGAAGATAATAGGACGCTTCTGATTCCTCCCCCCCTACCCCACCCCGCGATTAGCTCCATGAAGTTGGGAGTTGACTGCTTAAGTTTGATGTGGATCCAAAATGCCTCAGATCCATCTGATTTGTAAGGCCCTAGAAGTATCCTTCAAGGTCGGGATGCCCAGGTCTTAAAGCGGTGGGCGGGGTTTTCAGATCTGGGGTCTAGATCTTTTGCGGCTGTGGGGAAATAATCCAGATTACTTTCAAAATTCTTGCGCAAAGGCCGGACTTCTGGTCACAAGCCACCAAAAGCACTTCGGGTCCCCAGGAGGTTCGTGACCTCTCGGTGCTTCCTATTTTAAGAACACAAGAAGAGCCTGCTGGATCAGGCCAATGGCCCGTCTAGTCCAGCATCCCGTTCTCACGGTGGCCAACCGGATGCCTATGGTGGGAAGCCACACAAGCAGGATTCGTGCGCAAGAGAAACGCTCTCGCTCCTGCGCTTCCCAGCAGCTGGTATCCAGAAGCGTTGCTGCCTCCGACTGTGGAGGGAGAACACAGCGTCAGGACTAGTCGCCATTGAGCGCCTTCTTATCCCGAGCACAGCCTTTACAGATGGGCACAATTCAGTGCTCGAGACAGAGCTGGCCGAGGATTTGAATCTAGTTCTCCAGAGTCCAACACTGCACGGCACTGGCTAGCAAAACTAAAAGATTTTATTACGCCCCACGCGTTCAAGCGCTCAAGGCGCTGGGCAGTATCCTGCGGAGCTGAAACGAAGAAAAGCTGCCCCAGGCCACTGCCGCAGCTGCCACCCGATTTTTCTGCTAGACAACTTCTCGGTGGATCTTGTCCTTTATGCCTTTTCCACATTAATCCTACATTATGCTTAATCAACGTTACGCACGTTCCTTTTACTGCTCCATGAACATGCCTTTCTCGGTATATTTTGAAACTCCGATGGAGTGTCGGTCATTTTCTTCAGTTATTTATTACCCTTTTCCCTACTAATTGACATATAAATATATGTTGCTTGCCAGCTAACGATGCTATTTCGGACCAGCCAGTCAAGGTAAAAGATCAGGGTCAGGGTCAGGGAAAGGCTATTATCTGCCCCTGTCCTGATCTTTTCCATCTGTGAGCCTTTGCGGGAAGAAAAAGCGGTATCCATTATAAAAACGCTTGACATGTGAACATTGGGTGCCTGCTTACCGCCCGGGACGGGAGGAAAAGGGCGGGGCTCTCCTGAGGTCGCCTCATCTATTCCAGTAGGACTCGCGCGAGGAGAGTGTCCTGGGAATTGTGCCCGTAGACTGCCAGCAAAGGTGGCGAGTTGTCATAGGGATCTGCTAAGCAATACCCAAGATCACATCATTGCATGTGCAATCCTATACATGCACGGGACTGTGTCCTGAGGTTGCAAATCCTGTGCACTCTTTGAATGCACAGAAACTCCGTTCTGTGCAAGGATGTATATAATAAAATCAGGCTGTTAGAGCTGAATTTCAAAGGGTTTCGGATCCTCAGGATACCTACCAGCCAGCAATGAACGCCCACGGTCTGATAGCTACCAAGGGATGTCCAATCCGCACTAGGGCTCTGAAATTATGCACATTGCACAGGAAGTGATCTCAACTGAAAGCATTAGTCCTTACTTTCGAGAAAACATGCATGGGGAGTACTCCGCACCGGCGCTTTCTGAAGGGAACAGAGGAACGTCTTTCAGACTGGAAACATACTCACTTATCTTAGAGAAAGTCTCGCTCTACACAATGGGATCTTTTATATATATATATAAATGTGCGTAATGTTGCGCTACTAGCCTGGAGTACATCGCTTCGTTGTTGTTGTTATCGCTCCTTTCTCCTAGAACCAGTACTCAAGGCGGTTCACGAATTCCTGAGAAACCTCTTGTGTCATTTTCATTCCTCTTAATTGTGCACCTCGGAGCTTTCATAGTGCAAAAAGAGGAGGAAGCGTTTTATACGTTTTTTAAGAAGGAAGGGAGGAAAATAAAGACATTGTTCTCTCTCTCTCTCTCTCTCTCTCTCTCTGTGTGTGTGTGTGTGTTTGCATTTTTTACAAAGTATGTGAGGCTGTGCATTATGTTTACACTTGGGAGAAATGAAGCGGCAGCCCGATTTCTTGCCACAACCGAGAAGGGTCTTTCCAGTCTGAGATCACGTTGCGAAGTTACAGTGCAATCCTATTCATGTTTACTCAGATGTAAGCTCCCCTGCTTCATGGTTCCTGCTCTCTCTTAAGTGTGCACTGGCCGGAGACCTCGGTTCTCTAGCGCTGCGACCAATTAAGTACAAACAAATTCCGTTGAAATCAATGCCTCTTATCTTTCAGCTCCCGTTGATTTCGGCTGCGAAGCATTTTAAGCATTTGCTTAACGGTCTCCCATTAGAATCAAAAGAGTTTAACTTTGGCTAGATCGTGCTTAATGAGTGCTGTACTAGGATCGGGGTGTTTTCGTTCATAAAACAGCGACGAGTAAACAGGAGCAACAATCACTTTGTCCTTTAATTCTGGTTAAACCTTTTCTGCCTTTTTTCTGTTTTGACGTCCAGACAATTAGCATGTGTTTACAATGCTGCTCCTGCCCAAGTTAATTAAGCACTTTTAAGCCCCACTGATTTCAACGGAAGAGGATAAACTTCTCGCACCGAAATGAATGGGACATGCAATAGGCTGCACCTTGCTATCGGTTAATGCGGGGCAAGGCTAGCAAGCCACAGCCTGCATAAACATTTACACAAAGTCAAACGAAGCAAATGACCGCCATCGGGAGAAGCTGTCAGACTTCGCGAGGCTCCGGCAGGTTCCTGCAAGGTGTTTCGCTCTGGACGAGGATCTCTGGGATGGGGATCTCTGGCGACAAGGTCCTAAACGGAGTGAATTAAAGCAGCAACGCCAATTAACATAACAGGAAACCTCCTATAATTCCAAGTTGCGGGATACCGTCCTAAATTTATCCTGATCAATGAGTTAACAGGAATACTGTACAGTAAGTTTAAAACGTGCAAGAAGCTTTCCAAAAATACATTTAGTACACCCGGATTCTTTCTATGTTTGTTAGAAAAAGCAAGAAATCCCGTACAGATCCAGTGTTGGATTTTGCACATTGATAGAATAAAGCGACATGATTTGTCTTTCTCAGCTTTTTAGATGACATATAATCTTTCAAAATCGGTATGGAAACATTTTTAAATATATATATTCGTTTCACTCTTTTCTAAGCGCAATTACTTGGATGACGATCGCAATGAAATTATTGGGACTTACTCCGATTTAAGTTCCGATTTATCTAGTTCCTGTATGTCACAAAGGGAAAACTGTTCTGAAAATAATAATAATAATAATAATAATAATAATAATATACTCTGCATGAACATGCTCTGATGAAATCCGAGGGCTCGAATTTCTGAGAAGAAAGTTGAGTTTTTTAAAAATCTGCTTCCGAGGAACATGACAAGATCCTAGTATGTTAAAAATAGGCAACATGCTGGGGAGGAAAATCTCGCCTTTCCAACAGTGAGAGCAATGCCACACCCGGCCCTACCTGTGGGGCTTCCTTCCCTGGGTTACATGCTTGCTTGCTTGCTTTAATAGAATAGGAGAATAGGACACAACCGCAATCTTTGACTAGCTGATTAGCTGGAAACCATTGGTGAATTACTTAGGGAAACACGGCCTTTGCCTCCTTACTCGAAAGGAAGCGGATCCAATGGGTCGTGCAACTCGAGTGTATACATATTTACTTGGAAATAAATATGCTTAGTTTGATGTGTCGTCACTGAAAGTAAAAAGCACCCCGCCCAGCCCTCAACATAAGCAGATTTACTTTCGCGCAAACTGCGCAGGATCGCGCCGCATCTCTGCTTAGCACCGGGTCGCTGAGACCACCCCTGCCCACCTGGGCACATTTGCAAGTGGCAGGCGATCCACCTGACCTCACCCACCTCGCTGCCTTGACGGAGGTCATTCTAGCCCAACCGAGGCGAAATTATTTTTTGTCCTCCAAAAAGATCGGGCCCTCTTGTCCAAACAGGAACCCAGAGGACAGCGATCACCTGATTGGGGAAAATATATATGGTGACTCAAAAGAGGGCGCCACCCACTCTCTACCGCCTCCAGGGGTGTTTTGGGGGGGTCGTCTGGCGGCGGGAGATGGAGGGGGCGGGGGGGGCGGCTTGGGTTGAAGGCGCACCCCGCTGCCTGGGCCGCTTAAAGTCCGGCCTGGGTCTGCTCCGGCTCGACTTGCAGGAGGGGGGGGGGCGCTCCGGCCGGGGCGGAACTCAGGCAAGCCCTGCCCGCCGCAGCTCGCCGGGCCTCCCCAACCGGGCCAAGAAGACCCGACGGGAGCCAATGAGCGGCCAAAGCCGCGCCGGCACCTCCGACGCCAGCCCGGAGATTGGCGTGGGAGACACGTCAAGTTGAGCCGGGCCGGAGCTGCGGGTTCAGTGGCCCCCTCTCGACGTCGGATGCGGAGCAGCGCAGCTCGGAGGGCGGCGTGTGGGCTGCCCCGGCCTCCGCTCCAGCTTGGCCGGGGGCGCGGGCGTGGAGAGGGGCCCCGCGAGGCTGGCGCTCGATGCACCCGCTTCCCGGCGCCGGGACGGACAGGCAGAGGCCGCGGATCGACGGGCGCCTCTCCTAGCGGGCCATGGGTAAGTGGGCAGGAGGGACGGAGGGCAGCGGCTGCCGCGCGGCTTGCGGGGAGGTTTGGGCGAGGCAGGAGCGCTTTCGCCTAGAGAGCCAGGAGCCGCCTTTCTCTCCAGGCCGCCGCTTTGGGCTTAGGAAGCGGCCGCGCCGCAGCGCCGCTATCTCCCGGCCGGGATCCACCGGCCGGCCCTGTTCCATCCTGGCCCGCAGGCTACTTCCCGCCGGCCTCAGCCAGACGTCTCTGGAAATCCGGCTTCTCCCTCAGCATCGAGTGCGTCTGCTAGTCCGTGGTAGATTGCCCCTGCATTCGGAGGTTCTAATTTGCTATAATGGCCAATATCCTCCATTAAGCCCTCGACTGCTCCCTATGTAGATGTCTCCATTCCTCTTTTTAAAAAAAAAAAAAAAATGGTGGCAGGGAGTTCCAGTACTTACACCCTGAAATATTTTAGTCGGTCTCAAGCTTTCGCGTTCAGAGACGTTTCGTTATAAAAGAAATGCCTTTCCTTCCGCGTGGAATGAGGAGGGGTTCCATTTCCTGATGCTGAAGGAGTAAGTGATCGTTGCCCAGGACAGCTTTGCCTGGAACAATTATAATACCACATTTTATTTTTAGAAGAGGGTGCTGCTCCCTCAGCCAAGTCCCAACAGGCAGCTCTCCTCCATCCGTGGCCACAATCGCAAGAATTTAGCGCTTTCTCCCCTCCTCTCTTCCCCTCCCTCCTCCCCGGTTGCCTCTAGAGCAAACGTACGGCGAAGTGAACCAGCTGGGCGGCGTCTTTGTCAACGGGAGGCCGCTGCCCAACGCCATTCGCTTGCGGATCGTGGAGCTGGCGCAGCTGGGCATCCGGCCGTGCGACATCAGCCGGCAGTTGCGCGTCTCGCACGGCTGCGTGAGCAAGATCCTGGCGCGCTACAACGAGACCGGCTCCATCCTCCCCGGCGCCATCGGCGGGAGCAAGCCCAGGGTCACCACGCCCAACGTCGTGAAGCACATCCGAGACTACAAGCAGGGCGACCCGGGCATCTTCGCGTGGGAGATCCGCGACCGGCTGCTGGCGGACGGCGTCTGCGACAAGTACAACGTGCCTTCGGTGAGCTCCATCAGCAGGATCCTGAGGAACAAGATCGGCAACCTTTCGCAGCCCGGAGGAGCCTACGACGCCGGCAGTGGCGGCTGCAAGCAACCTGCCCCGCAGCCCACCCTGCCCTACAACCACATCTATCAGTATCCTTACCCCGGCGCTGCGCCATCCGCCGGCACCAAGATGGGCAGCCACCCCGGAGCGCCCGTCTCCGCCGCCCACGTCAGCCTCCCGCGCTCCTGGCCGTCGGCTCACTCAGTCAGCAACATCCTGGGCATCCGCACCTTCATGGAGCAGAGCGGTGAGTGGGTCGGGGTGGGTCGGGGATGCATTCTTGCACCCGGCGCGGCGGAGCTGTTGTTACTCTCCATCGGGGCGCATGGAGCTTCTTGAAGGGCGACAAAGATCGTTTGCTGCCCCGAGGACACTACAGTGTAAAACAGGGCTTGGGAGAGGCAACAGAGGGAGGGAAAGGCGGACAGTTCAGTAAATGTAGGGCCTATTTAAAGACTAAGCAATTGTGCTTAAGGGGTTGTTGGTTTTTGTAAATGCAAAAACTGTTGAGGATGTGTGCGTGAAAAAAGTGAAGGGGGGAGGGAGAGAGAAGCCTCCAACCAAAGAAAAAGTTTCTCCTTTTAAACTATTATTTTATTTAATTTCATCGTTTTAAGTCTGGACATAAAAACAAACAAACAAGTCCCACTGAATTCAATGGGGTTTTTACACGTTTTTTCCAAAAAATAAGGTGTACATAGGATTGCAGATTTAGTATACAACAATGGATGCCCATTCTGATCTTATGGCTCTTCATCACAATCTCCTGAGGCAGTTTAGATCTGTGATGGGCAGCTGAAGGTCGTGGAAGCCAGAGGGGTCTGTATGCAGCAATTTGATCGGGTCCCCGCGAAGCTTCTCCAAACTTGGACCAGAGTGAGGGCGTGCTGGAAACAAGCTTGTTTCCCGAAGAAAGGAGAGAGAACTGTACAGCAGTCAGTGTTAGTTCTTCTTCGCAGTTAGGGAGCAGGTGCCCTGCGAGGCCCTTAGGGTAGCTTGCATGGCCCGCCACCTCTGGCAGAGGAAGGATCGAACTGTGTAGTTGTGGCGCCATTTCGCTGTGAGGTGTATGAAGCTGGTGAGGGAGACAGTGTCTCAGCAACCCTTAAAGATCCCTTAAAGTTTGAATATATTCAAGACCTTCGTGACAAAAGAAGGCAGCGTATTTACAAGCCTTGCCCACGGTTTCACGTTTATTACTTACCAAGAATTATAGCAGGTTTCTCAACACGGGTCAGACAGGTTTTGTTTTTGTTTGTCCTGTGATAAGCAAAAGGTTTTGTGCCTTTGGCATGACTCCCTTCTGTCACTCTGTCGAAAGCCATGTACAGAACTCCTGGGTTCTCCTCTGACCTTTCTAAATGACACCCCTGGATGTGGCAAAATATACTCCCCCCACCCCCACCCCCGCTCTCTCCAGTACAGAAGTCGCCTATCCTTGCTTTGTGCTGAGAGCGGCTAGCGATTTGCTCGAGGGTCTTTTTCATAGCTGAGCCGGGATTTGAAGGAGATGCGCCCACGTCTCAACGCGCCACATGTTAATATCTCCTGCACCTCGTTACTGGAAGCCCAGAGGCGCCCTGGAAGCCGCTGCTGCAAGAACCCTGAGGGCCAGAATTCAGCAGACAGAACTCCGGCTGTTGTTGCAAAGAGGGCCCGGACATCTTGAACTTCTTATGAAAAAATGTGGAAAATATTTTCGTAGCGATGATAGATTGCCAACCGCAAGCTCGGAGCCCTTATACTGTTCCCCTTCCTTTTTTATTTAAGAGAAAAGAAAAGAAAAAATGGACCCAGCAAGTTCGTTTCGTGATTACCTTTTTTTTTCCAAATATCAAATGTGGGAGAGGGGTTTTCTCCCCCTTCCTCCTAAAATGTTCACTCGCCTTCCGGTTGAGAAAGCCTCGTTGATTTATTCCAGCGCTTCTCACTGAGAGTTTACTTATTTTCTAGAACTTCAGGAGATCCAAACGACCCACAGACTCATTGTTAGAAGGAAGAGGCAGCAAATTATTTGGAATATTGTATTTTTAGGCTCTGGTTCTCTTCTACGATTTGTTACTACGTTTCATTACGAGGAAACCGTGTTCTCTCACTTTTTTTAAAAAAAAGGTTAAGACTTTATGTGGGAGAGAATGTTCCACTTTGCGGATATAAAATTCAGCCAGTCACAGACGTATAGAAGTTATTCGTTCTTAATGGAATAATTCATCTTTCAAGTGCATTTACAGGTTGCTTTGTTAAAAAAGGGGGGGAGGAAAGAGGCATCCCACCCACTCCCTGTTTCAAACTATAGGTATTCAGGAGCACCTCTATCTGGTTTCAGCCCCATATAATTAATGGGTCTCTATGCGCCAGGTAACGCATTCCAAAGACACAAATCCTTTTACTCTAAAGGAGGTGCCCGCTTCTCCTGAGTCTGTAACAGTTCTACTGAACTGAACTATAAAGCAAGGAGTCCCAAATGCTTTAAAAATATATGTTCCCCCAGTTTAACATTGAATGTACCGAAGAGCAGGCGGTAGGAAATTGCTGAACCTTGTCCTGCTCACTGAACAACTCCCCCCGCCCCATCCTACAATCTGAAATGGGCCTCCTGAAGGATAAGGGAGCCAAAAACCGGTCCGTGTAAATGGAATAGGCATGGAGGTGGAAGATATGTTTCAGATGAAATGTTGGCAAAAGCTGTTTGCAATTTAAGGCTCGCAATTTCTTCTATATGTTTCCCCTTCGGATCACCCTCGTTTGTAACCTTGCGTTTTACGCGACGTTCAGAGCCGATCGGTTGAGCAGCTTGCCTGTAAAACACCGAGAGCCCCCCGTGTCTTCCGAAAGCTCAGCTCCCCTGGCCTCCCCAGTCCGCCAGAATTTATTCTCGAAGCCCTTCCCACCCAAACAGAGGCTGCAGCGGCGATGCTGGGAACGAGCGCTTCATAAATAAATCTGGATTGCGTTTGTTGTTAGCTTCTTTTACGAGGCTGTTGCACTACAGTTAGGGGCGAAATAAAAAGAAGTCTGGAATAATCCTTTACTGGCACAGGAAAGACTGAGAACTGAATCAAACGACGTTTGGGGTCTTCCTCGGAGGCTGTCCTTTCCCCCGGGGACACTTCACCGAGCCAGCCTGCTCGGAGGGCACAGCTCATCTGTCCTGAGAGTTAATATTCCCCCCCATCTATTTCTTTCCCATCCCAGGCGCTCTGGCTGGGACAGATGGCTCTGCCTACCCTCCCAAACTAGAAGACTGGCCCAGTGTGAACAGGACCACCTTCCCTGCTGCCGGACAAGGTGTCGGCGCGCTTGACAAATCAGCAGCGGAAGCAGACATTAAATACCCCCAGGTAACAGCACGGCCAGCCGGGAATTCAATGGCAGAGACGGGCTGGGTGGGGGAAGAAGCTAAAAAAGTACGGTAAGCACGATGATGATCATCCCTTCCTGCGCGATGGGCAGAATGTCAATGTTCAGTTGTGCGTTTACTCATGTAAGATCTGTGGATCTCTGGAAAATACACGATATCTATGGCCGAAAATGCTGTAAGCAGGTATTAAAAAGAGAGTCTGAAAACACCCCCCACCCCCACCCCTGTTTATAAACCATCTGACTTTATATCTAAAGAACACACAGATGGAGAATCCAGAGAAGAGAAACATTCTCTCTCTCTCCGCGTGTGTGACATAGAAGAAGCTTCTATGGCCACTAAATCTTTCTAAAAGCAAACCGCCCTTTCGAATGTATTATTGTCACAAACCCTTTCTTTGCCTCACATGGTAAATTTGCATTTCTATTTTACTTTATTTCCTTGCTTTAGGCACAGAAAACTTTTGACACTTTCTACTCAGATCTGGTCACCACAGTATTTATTTTCTTTTAAAAATCTTACTATTCGTTTAGAACCCTACAGCAACACACATTTTGCACATAGGTTTTCATGAAGTTACCTGCGTTTAGTTATGTAAATTTCGCGGGAGCAAACACTTCTTTGAAAAGCTAACTATCTGCGCGCTTGTCCTACTTTCTGCGCTTAAGAAAGGGAGGATTCCAGAACGAGATGCGCGTCCTCCTTAAACAGGGAGAACAGAGCTTATCTCTCTTTTTGTGCAGGCGTTTTTGCACGCTTTAGACTCGTTGCAGTTTCCTGTCGCTTACTTGGAAGTGAACGGCATTGCTAATCCATTTTGATTTACTTCCAAGACAATGTTTAGAATCCTGTCTTTTCGTAGGCGCCGCCATCTACTATTTTCTCTTTCTGTTGTTCTCAGCCGCCCCCCGGGCTCTCAGCTGTCAGTACCTTCCTGTCCCCTTGCGCCTACCCGTCTTCAAACCAAGCAGTCTACGGCGGGCCGGGAGGAAGCTACCTAAGTCCGGCGCATCATCACTGGCAGACGCCAGGCAATCCCTTGGCTCATCACCACGGGCCCGGCGTGGCCATATACGGGGGAGACCCGGCTCCCACAGCGGCCTTCAAGCATCCCACCCGAGAAGGTAGGGAAAGGGGAAGGGCGGCCCCCGGCTTGCCTGCGCGGTGGTGGGAGAAAGGCAGCTGAGGGAACAGGGGCACCTGCCCTCTGGCCATGTCCTGCTAGCTAGGGGTGGTGGGAGTTGCAGTCCGATAACAGCTGGGACCCACATTTGAGAAACACCGCATTGTAACCCCAACACACACTCAGCTGGTGGGTGGGAAACCCCATGGAAAACAGTGGGATTTATTTCCACGGAAGATCCGGGCTGCGCGCGCCTCTAACCGGAATCTGTTCATGTAACCTGGGCTGCCTGGTTCAAGGGCAGCTGCCTCCTTGCCTGGCCTCTGACTTGGCTACTCCCTTCCCATTCTTTGCTGGCCCAGTTTCCTTAAGGAGGCGTCTCCACCCTCCAGCCACGGAGCTGGCGGCCAGGCCAACGAACCTCTTTTTCCGAAGGCGGAGAGGGAAGAATTAGTAGGTGCCACGGAGAGGAATAATTTCCTGCGCATTCAAAAGGGATGCGGGTGGGGGATAGTTAAGGCCAAAGCACCCCCCCCCCTGTATTGGTAGGAAATGTCACGGGGAGAGACTCGAGGCTGGGTCACGTGGAGGAGCGAGAAAAAGAGACCTCGGGGGTTTCCTGCCTGTCACTGCTGTCCTCGCTGGAGAGAGACCCGCTCTTGAGTCTGCCTCGGGCTGCCGTGTCTCTTCAGGCATCTGTAGGAGCTAAATCATCGGGCGGGGGTGCTTTCCGGGTGGGAAAAGAATCTCCATCCTGCCAAAATATTTTCTTTCCCCTTGCATCCCTTCGCCCCGGTACAAAGCTATTCCAGCGCCTTTCCTATAGCTGTACCTTTTATTTTCCTTATAATCCATTGTGCGCAGTCACTAACTGTGTGTGGTCCCTTTTCCCAGCATTAGCTCGAAGTGGGCGCCATTTAAGCCTGGCGCAATTATTGACAATGATTGACGACGCTAAACTGGTGCGTCATGCGTGCGTGAAAGTGGCCGGGAAGGGTTAGATGTTTTAAAAAGTTAAAATAAAGAAGGGAAGTAGCGATAATTTTCTGAGCGAGGGCAGAGTTCGGATTTTCTGCTTTTTCCTTTGTAAATTTTTGTGACAGCGTATCCTTACTAACTTAGAACATGACTGTGTCAAAAGTATGCACTAGTAATAATGCTCATTCAGTTAAGACGCCTATTGCAATCACTGGGACTTGTCTGGTAAGAACCTAAGCACGTTTACTCAGAGCTCAGCACCACTGAATTCAATGAGACTTACTTCCTGGTATGAATAGTACTATCTTAAGACGGTAGACAAAAAGGCAGTTTTGTTCTGTGATGTTGTGACATTTGTTTCATGAAAATATCAGGAAAGAGCCCACCAAAAATGAAAGTTTTTTAAAAATAAAGCCCTACAGCTCCCTCCTCAGTAGACCACGTAGACGTTTCCAAACTTACTTTTATATAGTAATTCAGATATTTTACAAAGCCTGCCAGTCAAACAGAAAGTAAGAAATACCTCTTAACTCGAAAAATATGCCTTCCATTCCCCCTCCTCTCTCTTTAGGTGTCAGTTCATAAAATAAAATAAAATGAGCAGTTCTGGAAAAACCATCCAGGGTTTTAGTAATCATCCTTTGAGTGAAAGTAGTATTTGCATATTTTTCTTGCAGGCGATGGAACAGAAAATAAATGGGTCAGGAATATACTATGAGCCAGAGCGCACACTTCCACGCAGAGACGTGACAGAGATTAATTTTATTTGAGAGAAATAATAATTTCAGTACCATAGGCAATCATTTTATGGAAGCAGTTGACCATAAATCTTGATAGGGAGCAAGTCCGTTTTCTGAAGCAATAAAGAGAAGCATTACACGAGGCGTTATAGGTTTAAGTAAGTCTAATTGTTCTCTCTTTCTCTTTTAAATAAACTAAGAAGTTTTAATTAATTAACCTATTCATTGCAAGACTTGATTTTAAAGTCTGCAAATACAACAAAATGACTTATATTTTAAACACCGCTTCGTTTTCTTACTTCCCCAATTTTCTGGTGCACTATCTAACTTTAAGAATAAAACGCTTACTGGGAATTGGATCCTACTCAGAGATTAACTTTTGAATAGACGTGATTAGGACTGGACTGTAAATAATACTGAGCCATTTCCCCCCAGCGAATTTCTAGTTACTTGGTCCAGTTCACATGCACTGAAACCAACAACAAAATTGCTGTTGATTTGGACTGAGCTATGTTGAATCCTTATCCAAAAGATACCAGTTGTTTCAGCCTTTTTAAATATATGACCGAATGATCCGTCGGAAATCGAGCCATACTCAAGTGAATTGTTGTCCATTTAGGGTGGCGCTGTGGTCTAAACCACAGAGCCTAGGACTTGCCAATCAGAAGGTCGGCGGTTCCAATCCCTGCAATGGGGTGAGGCCCTTTGCTCGGTCCCTGCTCCTGCTAACCTAGCAGTTGGAAAGCACATCAAAGTGCAAGTAGGTCAATAGGTACCGCTCAGGCAGGAAGGTAAATGGCGTTTCCGTGTGCTGCTCCTGTTCGCCAGAAGCGGCTTAGTCATGCTGGCCACATGACCCTGAAAAACTGCCTGCGGACAAACCCCGGCTCCCACGGCCAGTAAAGCCAGAGGAGCGCCGCAATCTCAGAGTCGTCGGCGACTGTACCTTAAGGTCAGGGGTACCTTTACCTTTAGGGATATTTCATGGCACATATAGTGGCCAGATTCGTCTGGTCTTTCCAAATGCACCATGTTTCACAAACTAGCGGGAATCAAGTATTTTAGAAGAACTGTTACCTCCCCCAAGTCCTTTCTCTCTTGTCTGTAATAAAAGCGTGAATTAAAAAAAAAGAAAAACACAAGAGTGTATTTTACAGTGGAAACCGGCGTTTCTGCTTTCCTTTTGCTGAACATGCAGTGTTAGGCTGCGATCCTAAACACTGGAATCCGTGGGTTTAGGATTGTGGTGTTACTGTTCTACGCTGCCTAATGAGAAACAGGCGCGCCCTTTTAGCCTTTGACTGTCCTTTAACAAAACCGGCCTCTATCGCAGTGGCTAAACCGATATTTTCTGCTAAACAGAGTCGAGACTACCTTTTTTAATGTCTTAGACCTGAGGCGGTTGTTTTCTTACGTGGCCCCTAGACAGATGGTTTCTTTTCAGAGTTTCTTGTCTTATGCCCCGTTAATACTTCTTTACTCTCGGCAAAAGTTGGAGTCAATGCCTACGGAATAGACGCGGCTCCCCTTTTCTTTTTAAATGCGGCAGGTGGAGAGGAGCCCAGTAAGTCAAGCCAAAGTCTGTGTCTCTGAGATGCAACGTTTACAAGGCACGACTGTTGCTATAGTTTGGTAATGGAATCGCCACTTCTGGTTTAAATCTCGCCTATATCACGAACTCATTCTATTGCCTAAAGCAAGCTGCATTTGCCCCAGCCTCACCCCCCTCTGCCCTCTGGAATTTGGGGGTGACCGTGATTTACCTTACAGGTAAGGACGGCAGGATGAAAGTCGTGAAGCGCTCTAGGCGCTCTAAGCACAGCATAAGCTGTTGTCGCTCTTACTATTTATTCTCAAAGTTGCTGCCGCCAAAGTCTGAGAATTCCAACTGGGAACATGCAAGGAGGAATTGGTGCACTTCGGTATGAAATGCAGGTTCTAAAACCTATGCAGCCTCTTGGCTCACCGGTTTTTTGTTTTGCTTTTAATTACAGAAATAAAGTCACTTTCTGGTTAGTTTCGAAGCTGGAGTCAAGCTGCCTCTGTCCTTGCCAGCCTGACATCCACAAATCATTTAAGCCAGAGTGCCTCAGTCCTAGCTATCTTTGGGGGCACTTGGACTCTAATCGCCCACGGTACACGTGTCATCAGCAAACTCTTGTTCAAACCCTGCTCCGTCCCAATCACGTATAAGGAGTGGGTTGCGCCCGATGATTAGAGCGCCGTAGGAGGGGGTCGTGTATCCTCCGCTCTTACTTGACTCCCCACCTGCCTTTCCCCCTCCCTCACTTACCAAACCGGAAATAAGAAACGCGCTTGGGAAAAGAAGAGGCTGCGGGGACCGAAGTGGCTCGGAGTGGAGTTCAGCTTCTCAGCACGTGACCTCCTTGTGCTAAAATCCGCGACCCAGCCCAGCTGTATAGGTGCCTGAGGCAGAACCCCGTCTAGACCCGCAGGGAACCTCTCCTGCATAAGATGAGTACAGCGCAAGAGAAGGATGCCTTGCGCAGAGGCTTCTAGCGCCGCTGCGGAAGAGCTGTCTTGCCAGGGCTGTTCCACTGGCTTCTGCGGTGGTTCTCCAGGGGTGTGGCAGGAGAGGATAGCAAGTGTGGCAAGAAGATTCAGAGACAATCAAAGAAACAGTTAAACTTTTCAGTGCAGTATAGTAGAGTATCATTTTGATTTTTAATTTGCATGATATGAATATATACATTTTCAAAATGAGAGCACGAACACTGGCTATTCTTCTATAGCTCTCCATGACATATTGTTGTGAACAGGGATTTCAACTCCGACAAATATGAAAGATCAGAAAAGGGAAAGGTTTCTTTGTGTTGATGAAAAGATGAGAGTTTGTCTCAAACTATACCTAGATAAATGAGATTACCTGGCAAAACCAAGCTCATTCCTCATATTGAGTTTGCATGTATACTTAAGGTACATCTGAAAGAGGCTGGTTTATAATTTTATTTGGGAAGGATTTGCGTTTTATACTTTATGGATGCCCCATGATCATATTATAAACTAGTTATAAACTAGGTTATAAATCAAGTGCTGCTAGGAGTTGTTTCTTTTGATTTTCATATGTATTTCTTATCAATAAAAAAATTCGGTGTGGCAAAAGCAAATTTTTATTTTGAAAGTGTGGCCCAGAGATAAAAGTTTGAGAACCACTAAATTGTTTCCACATGTGAGTTTTGGTTCTGGGGATTTTTGTTGAAACAAAAAGTGCTTCATATTTGGGGGTAGGGTTGTTGCACAAGACTTGATTTTTTAAAACACACACATTTAAAACAACAGGCACAAGAATATGTTCACATTATCTTATTTCAGTTTAGTTTATCATTGTGTTAAGGCATATCACCACCTTAAACTATTTGTTTGTAAGTTTTCATTGTGGTTTATGTTTCTAGCGCATTTAAGCACTGAGATCAATAGCACTTCTAATACTAATTAAATATTTACTTCTAATTTGGGAAAGGGAGTGCAAGCAGTGGGCAGCTGCAGTCTTAAACAAAATTACTTGGAAGCAATCTGGTTCCCATAAAAGGAGCAGACCTTAATTCCAAGTAAATGCATTTAGAAAATGGCTATGCAAAGGTACAGAAGGTATTAAGCACAGGTGTGTAGGGTATCCTGGGTACTTCTTATCCTCTGCCAAAAGTAGGCCAGGTTTCAAGTGCTGAATTTATTGCAGCTCCCCTGAAAGCATCTGCTTCTCTTTTTATTGTGTTGCTGAGTGAAGGGATCCATCTGCAGAATGCAGAATAATGGACCCAGTTTAGGAACATAGAATTAGATTGCATGTCAAAGGGTTTGTTGTTGTTGTTGCTCATATTGCACCTTGCCTCTTCCTCCTTCCAATCTACCTTTGGTGGTGGTTTTTTTAAAAAAATCATATATTAAATACTTATAAATAAGCATTTTACAGAGTCAAAGACTGGTTCCTACCCATTTAGCAAGCAAATGCCAATGAAAGACACACATGGGAGTGGGGAGAGACAAGAAAGGGAAGAGGAATCAGACAGTAGTACGAATGTGAACACATTTAGTTACATCCATTTAACCCTTTCTTTTGGGTAGGTATGAGAAGGAGACGGTTAATGGGTGTGATATGAGGCCTGTTTTGAGAAAAGAGATTGTACAATTTTCTATGTGACGTTGTGGGTGTTGCTACAGGGACAAGTTTTTCTGTGCACATTCTTTTTCTAATGAGCGGGAGCAGTGTGCTTGTATGATAGCGTGTTCCAATCCAGGTCCCTGATATTTCCATGTTTAAGATATGCTTTGGTGTTTTGGGATTGTCAGGTGTAGCAGAATACTCTTTGATCATGTTCACACATGCATGTTCATTAGCTGCAGTCAAGTGGTGACTTCCATGTGTGAATGACTTGCCACAGATCATAGAAGCAAAAGAGGTTTCATATCAGCTCACATAACTTTTCAGTGGAGGCAAATCACACAGCCAGCTGACAGTTCTAGATAGCAAGCCCTGTGCAATGAGGTGACGGGAGATCAAGTGACACGTGTGAAAGGACTCCTTTTGTAAATATATATAGTCCGCTCTACTGTTATTTGAAGAAGACCCAATTATTTTAATTCATTGGCTCCTTTGCTGAAGTTTGCCAAAGGAGAGCATTTGCTCTGATTCCCCACAGTGAAAAGAAAATAATTTTACAGGGATTCTGAGTAACCAGTGTTATGAAGCTTGCTAGGTTGTGGACTGATGGTTGTTCTAGAAAGAAGAGAAAAACTGTCCACTGTCCCCGTGGCAGAAATTTCCCTGTTCCCACTTCACACAGCAGCTACTGTAAGTACCAAGTGTACATAACTTAACAGTCATAACATAACTCAACACCTATGTATGCCTGCCTGGCAACTCTGACTGGGACACACTTTCCCATGTATGTGCGTGCACTGTAAATGCAGACAGTGTGCATATAATTGTTTCACACATTATGCAGCAGGAAATGTGTACTTAAATACCCTAGAGAAGCCTTAGCCATCCTAGCCAAACATCTTTCTGCAATACATATGCAAACCCTCTGTCACATTCAAAGGTTAGCTTTATTGGGTAAATGGAAACATTTTCTCAAATATCCCTTAAAACCACAACGTGTGAAGCAACCCAAGATATACCTATGCTACTCTGTTCAGTCCTTATAGTCCCACCCAGCTAAAAAAAAGAAGTTGTAACTAAATTCCATGGAAGATAATGGATGGTGCCCTTTAGTCCTGGCTTTTAATGTGATTAAAGGCCTAATTCTGAGGCAGCAAACATGTGCCTGGGTGGTACCACTACATGTGGCATATTGGAAAGAACGTTTCCTCATCCAAGAAAAGAAAAAGAAAAGAGAAAACAAAAGTTTCCCACAAATAGGAAAGCAGTGGAAAGGCTGGAGCCCTTCTTTGTAATATCTAGTTTTCCATGTGCTTGGAATTGATTTGTATGGCAGGGCCTTCCATGAGGTGAAGGGCCTTTTGCCATCTGAAGAGTTTACCACCTCCCCGAGGTACAGATGTCAGGTTATAATTAACTACAGCTGGATTTGGGGCCTTAATTAATTAATTAATTTTATAGGAAACATGGGCGTGATCTCTGAGCACACCTTTGTGCCTCTGCTGCTGACACAACTTGCTTCACACGCTTCTTTATCTTCTTTAATGGAAGGGCTGCCATACTATAGTATACTACGGTGCCATACTATTTTTACTGTACTGTAATTATTTGTATGGTTTTACTAGAATATATAGAAGTGTGTGTGTTCTAATTCTATCAAGGTCAAATTGTTTTTAATGATTGTTTCCCCCCTATGTTTCCAACTGCTCTTATTTTTTATCTGTAAGTCACCATGAGTCCCTGTCAGGAAGAAAGGCAGGGGTGGTGGTAATGATAATAATAACAAGAACCCGTCCCCCTTGTCTTGCAGCTGTGGACAGAAAACAAGCCTCCAGCCCTGGGGGCAAAACCCCAGCAGACTCCCTGGCAGCCACCATCCACGGACTTTCTGCCCCAGCCTCCTCATCCTAGAAGGAGAAAGAGGCGGGAAATGGCGTCTGAGGCGAAGGCAGCTTGGAGGGGGCAAAGAGCCTGAGCAACTCTTCCCCACCCCCCTGCAAAGCGAGGTTTGAGGAGAGGAGAAGCTGTGGCCGTTGACAAGGCCCCAACCTGACTGGATCGCAGACCAGAGCTCCTTGGCGGGCTGGGTGGCTGGGGTGAGGGTATTGAGCCCAAGGAGAGGGGTATATGGGCGAAAACCAACCAACCACAAATGCTTTGCCACCGCCACCTTTTCTGTGAGTCTCAGATGAAGGCACACACCATTGGATTTGTACCCCTGAGGGCAAGGGGGAATCCCCAAGAAAACATTATTGGTCACTGGCTGCAGACATTCAAATGCCCAACTGAGATGAGGAAAATAAAAGAATTCTAAAGGGCAACCGATCTTTTCCCAAGACATCTGATTCAAAATAAAAGACAGTTTTATGGGTTTTAGTACCCAAAGTTTACTGCTTCGTAGTCCGGCTGGCCAACTCTGCAACTCTGACTTCACCTCACAGCAGGGCTCGCTTTTTCCTTCGGATGGGTCTGGCCTCAAAGTGTCATTGTAGCACTTTTTCTTTTGGACAAAAATGAATCATTGAAAAATATTTCCCTATATTTGAGAAATGCATTCTCACAAACAAAAAAGAATAGTATCCCCAATTTGTGTCTTTTACAATCTTCCTCATCAAAAGTTAGGCAAAATGAACAAAGGTGGATCTATATTCTTTTTGAAGGAGCATTCCATCCCCTCTTCTTTTTTAATTTAATTGTGATGCGTTTTGGTACTGGCAATGTGAGCAAAAAGGCATGTTTTCAAAACATGAGGTGGCAAGAGAAACCTTGCTCTGGGCTTGCGGATGCAGGCACATAGGTTCCCCTCTCTTCTCCAAGGCTTTCTACCCCCCCCCCACCGTCCCGTTGACTCTATGCTGTGAAAGCCCTATTTTTGCCAGTGTATACATGCCTCTAACCCCTAGTGTAAAAGGACAAGTCTGTATTGATCTTCTCTGATTTTATATTTTTATAGCAAACAAATAAAAGATGGACAAAAACTTCTGTTTGCGACTTCATTCCATTCTCTGGTCTTCTGTTTCTCATGAAGACCTTCTTAGCAGCACAATCCTAACCATGTTTACTTGGCAGCAAGCCCAGTTGATTTCACACTGGGTAGCTCAGTTGGTTAAAGTGTGGGGCTGACAACGCCAAGGTTGCAGGTTCGATCCTGTCCTGTAAGTGTCAGCTGTATATTCCTGCATGGCAGGGCATTGGACTAGATGATCGTATGGGTTGTTCCAACTCTATGATTCTATGAGATAACCCCCTCGTGGGGGAAAGCCCTACTGTGACCTTTTACAGCTGAAAAAAGTATTCAAATATTTGACAGTTGCTTGAGGTTAAAATTTGATCTATCAAAATGTGAAACTCAAAATCTGAATGTTGAAGATGTAATTTTACTTCAGAAGCTGAGCTCTGTACACTTATTGATAGCTTGTGATTTATCATGGCAGTAATCAAATATAAAACGTCAAGCTGGTAACTGTCAAATGTGACATACCATGGCACCAGGGCTTTTTTTCAGCTGGAACTCACCAGAGCTCAACTCCAGCACCTCCCAGGTGGGCACCATGGCCAATCTAAGAGAACAAGGGAGAAGTTCAGGGTGAGCTCCAGCACCTCTTTTTCCAGAAAAATAGCACTGCACAGCACATTAGCTATACAAAATGGTAAAATATTAGTTGATTTGAGAGCCAGTGTGGTGTAGTGGTTAAGAGCGGCAGTCTCGTAATCTGGGGAACCGGGTTCGTGTCTCCACTCCTCTACCTGCAGCTGCTGGGTGACCTTGGGCCAGTCACACTTCTCTGAAGTCTCTCAGCCCCACTCACCTCACAGAGTGTTTGTTGTGGGGGAGGAAGGGAAAGGAGATTGTGAGCCGCTTTGAGACTCCTGAAGGGGAGTGAAAGGCGGGATATCAAATCCAAAACTCTTCCCCTCTTCTTCTTCTACTTCTTGATAAGAGCTCGGCCATAGTCTTCAGTATTTTTGGACCCACTTTTAGGTCAGATGTTCTCTTGAGGGCCAGCAAGCCTGGCCAGTGGGCATTATTATTTATAATGGGGCAATGAAGGGAGCAGAGACCCAGAAGGCAGGCTGGTAGGTCTCTGTGAGCTCCCTGTTTCCTTTAGGCACTGCACTGAGGACCCTGTTGTTTATGGGAGGTCCCTACAGTGTGCTGGTCTCAGAAAATCCAGGTTCCAGTCCCAACTTGGCCATGAAACTCACTGGGTGACGTAGTGGGCCAATTACTGACTCTCACCCTAGCCTACTCCACAAGGTTGCTGTGAAGATAAAAGGGAGAAGAGGGGGGATTGTGTAAGCTGCTTTGGGTTTCTTGGAGGGAAAAGGTGGGATATAATTGTAATAATAATAAAAAACCCAACCATGGCTGGGCTGGTTACTACTATGAGCACGGTCTGTGCCTGCAAACATCTTGCTCATGCTGTCAGGATGAGAAGACAGTAGAGTTTGGTTCATGACCCCCCCCCCACTGTTCAAATTAGTGGGATTCTAAAAGAAAAGAGTTGGAAAAACAATGCAGTACTGCCAGCGTTGATGTGGCCCCTCCAGATGTGAGGCCCCCTCATATGTCAAGCCTGGAGCAACTGCCCCCTGTGCCTCTCTCTAAAAAGACCCTGTGGGTGTTCCTGGGGCAAGTGAATAGTTTCAAAATGAGAAGTGAGAAGCAGGAGGCTGCAGCTTGTCTCCACCAATAGTATTATATGTAACCAATGGTGAAGTCAAGTTGCATTTTTGTTCTGATCTAGTAATTCCATGATCTCTCCCCACCTTCTTCCTAGAATATTTCATAATGTTTAGTTGATGTTCCTGCTGTCTCTGATATTACAGTTACCGCTTCCCATGGTGTCAGTTTTCTCAAAACAGCTGTAGGACCCAATACTTCCAAAGGGAAAATTCTTATCTGGAGGTAGTGGAACCTTGGAGGTGTCCAACCTCCCATCTTTTGAGTAATGTCCTGTTACTAGGTGCCCGTCTACAATGAATTCTCCAAATTTAGCTATTGCTAGATGCCTTTCCACTTTCAAAGACTTAGAAATTTACTCTGTGGCATTGCTGAGGCTAGTGGGGAGATATCTAAGCTTATTCTTCCTGCCTGTGCCTCAGGTACACTGCCCAATCATTAAAAAGCCCAGCTCAGAGCATCCCTGCCTTTGAGGGCTTACTCTGCCTTATCTTTGGAATCCCCTACCTGTGCCAATTTGTCACATGCCCATTCTTAGTGCTTTTAAGTGCCATTTGAGGACCTTTTAATTCTCTGAAGCATATTATTGTTGATCTTATTGCTAGTGTCAATGCAGTCTTTTTACTACGTATAACTTTAATTCTATTTTCAGTAAAAAAATATTTTTTTTACAGTGCTTATAAACCAGCTCATATCATGATCTCTGGAGAGTTTGGCTGAGAGGAAGAAATATTTTAATGATTAAATAAAATAAAATAATAGCTACAGGTTGGAACACAATTTGTTTTTAAAACCAGTGGAGAATAAATTCTAGTCATGGCTGTCAGTTATGTCCAGATGGGAAAACAGCAGTTGTCAAATAATGGCTACTAAAATGAGGAATTGATAATCTGTCTTTTTGCAGCTCAGTATACACCACTTGAAATACTTCTTGTAAATGCTGAATAAATGCTAACAAGCTAGCTAACAATGTTTTTCAGAGGAAGTCTGGAAAAATCCCAGAGGGATAAATTTTGCTTGTTGCTGCCACTGATGCGTTTTATCATTTGGTGCCTATAGTGAGCAATCACTTGACTCTAAGCTGTCATAAAGTGGTTTGGAACCCAACACTGAATTGTGGTAACAGCTACAGAGATGAACTGCAGAATTACAGATGACAATCTGGTGCAAAATGTTGCTGTGTATCTACAGTCCCCAACTGTTTCGAATAACAGGGAGCTATGACCAGCTTAACACATTTCGCTGCCTGAGGCATGAGTGGTAATTGGGGAGGGGCAGAACCAGGGACCTGGCCTCTTGACTGCAGAACCACTGTTACCTATCAGGATGGTGGGGGAGGGGCAGGGAGGTAGCCTGCATCCCCTGAACTCTAGCATGGCCCATGTCTCCTACTTTTCGAAGAACAGCTCTGTCTGGTTTAAAGAGAAAGTTCCCTAACAAGGGGAAGCAGCAGCCCTGAAGATGCTTATTGACAGCACATGGACAGCAGATTGAGCAGACACATACTTCAACTGATTACAGGTAATTCTCTAGTGACCAACATAGCATTTGTAGGCTCCTTTATATAATATTTTTTTGTTTTACCTAATATTATTTAACTCCAATTGACATTAAACCATTTTTTTTGTTAGCTGGCTTGATCTTCCCAACAAAAAGAACCAAGAAGTATGCCAGAAGTAGTTTGTATGTTTTATTTTCATTGTGTTTTAAAATATGTGACCAATGTAACAGTTTTGCAACCTCAAGAATTTATCTGTAACTTGGGTAAGCATTTTCTCTAAAAAGCCAATATACATAAAGAGCAAATGTTTCAGGGGTTAAGCATCAAACTTATAGTAATGTTTACTGGAAACTGGAAAAAAAGTTTTATGTCAAGTGACTTGTGACCAATGTAATGTGTGCATTCACAATATAACATGTGCCCTGCGCATACAACATTTTACTCTGCATTCACAAGTAGCAGGTTAGCATCAAGCTGTAATGCCCATGGGAATTTACACTTACAGGCAAATGTCACCTAAGTCCTTTTTAAAAAGAGGATTTCATACTAACGACTATCATTGTACATCACCCAGCCAACCATTTTTATTTTCAATTTCGCAAACTCTACTGGCACCAGTACATCAGTGGCTGTTTCTCTTTCTGTACCTTCTTTCAGGATAATCACATTTCCCATCGGGACATTATTCCCTCTGTGTGTAGTGTTTGCTTTATATTGTGTTAGGAATTAATTTATACTTTGTGGTCAAGACTCCCTTTTCATGAAATGTCTGTGGATTGAGAGAAATTATTCTGCTCCCCACCTAATATTTGCTTTCAATTCTGTCCAAAATTGTAACCGATAACAATGTGTTCAGTCCGGCTACAAAAACCTCTGGAGGAGGCTTGCTAAAATGGTAGAGAAAAGAAAACAAGGGCGGCCAGAATGTCAGGAAAAAGATAAGGGAGAAGAGTCGCAGTTTAGCAGACAGTCCTTGGCTCAATCCCTGGCATTTCCAGTTAACACAGAAGAAAAACACACTACTAGACTCTGACAAGTTCTCCCCCCTTCTTTGTTTTCTGTGGATGCCTTATTAAAATGTTGAAACAAACAAACAAAAATCCTTCCAGTAGCACCTTAGAGACCAATTTACCTGAAGTGTGCATGCACACGAAAGCTCATACCAATAACAAACTTAGTTGGTCTCTAAGGTGCTACTGGAAGGAATTTTTTTGTTTTGTTTCAACTAAAATGTTGTTAGTGTGCCTATCGGAATATGTCAGGGTTCATACCTGTGTTAATCACCACTTTCATGTGGCTGTTCTGCTTTTACTTGGATAGCCACGCTGAGAGGGGCAATTATGAGCAGAGAAGCACCTACCATTCCTCATTCTCAAGCTGCTCTCCCTCTTTGGGTTTCTGCAAACACCGGCCTGCTGTAGGGAGAGGAAAGTCTGCCAAGGGAGCTGAGGGGGATTTGGAGAAGGGAAATAGTGACTATGGAAAGGATTAAGTGTCGCCTCCTCCTTGCTTCTCCACGCTCAGTCATTTCTTCCTGAAGTGGTTGCTCAGCAGTCCTTTTTATTTTAACCCACATTTGGTGCTTCCACAGTATGGAATAGGTCATACTAAACACTTTATCAGAATTAACTAAAAGAATCCACCAGCCCACCCTTCCCTGACATAAAAACTCATCCTCCGTTTCTGATTCATGTGAGAATCAGATGAGAATGTTACAACCTGAGTCAGGGATGCCAACTTGAATAAAATATTGGGGGGCCCAGGTAAGCCCCATCCCACATAACCAATCACATGACACAGCACACACACAGCATTTGAATGGGAACTTTGGGGGGCCTGGTCCCCTCAAATATTTTATGGGGTGGGGGTTGAAGGGACCTCAGACCCGAGGAATTGGCTCCTATGATCTAAATTCACATAAACTTAAGATGTTGTCAGCTTCACTACAATTTTTCACACTTTCCTTCTAGTAAAA